CCTTCTGGCAAGACAGTGATGGAGTGAATCATAGTGAAAGTTTTTCTTTTTCGGGCCACCCTGCCTTGGTGGGAATCGGCCAGTGTGATAATAAAAATAATAAAAAATAACACACAGTGGACCCCCGGTTAACGATATTTTTTCATTCCAGAAGTATGTTCAGGTGCCAGTACTGACTGAATTTGTTCCTATAAGGAATATTGTGAAGTAGATCAGTCCATTTCAGACCCCCTAACATACACGTACAAATGCACTTACATAAATACACTTACATAATTGGTCGCATTGGGAGGTGATCGTTAAGCGGGGGTCCACTGTATATAATATATATATATACAGTGGACCCCCGGTTAACAATATTTTTTCATTCCAGAAGTATGTTCAGGTGCCAGTACTGACCGAATTTTTTCCCATAAGGAATATTGTGAAGTAGATTAGTCCATTTCAGACCCCCAAACATACACGTACAAACACACTTACATAAATACACTTACATAATTGGTCGCATTTGGAGGTGATCGTTAAGCGGGGGTCCACTGTATATATATATATATATTATATATATATATTATATATATTATATATATATATATATATAATATATATATATATATATATATATATATATATATAATATATATATATATATATATATATATATATATATATACATATACAGTATATATATATATACACACAGTGGACCCCCGGTTAACGATATTTTTTCACTCCAGAAGTATGTTCAGGTGCCAGTACTGACCGAATTTGTTCCCATAAGGAATATTGTGAAGTAGATTAGTCCAGTGGAAATAAATGGTATCAAATACCGACACAGTGGAAATATAAACATATGCAGTATAATGTGATCCTTTATTGACAACGTTTCACCCACACAGTGGGCTTTTTCAAGTCACACACAGATCTACCTGGGGTGGAAGGTACAGGAGTATTTATAGTCATGTTCAGAATGTTGAGGTCAGGTGGAGAATGCTGCATCTGATGATCTACCGGGTGGAGTTATAGAGTCTTGGGTAGCTTCGCAGGGGTATTGGACAAGTTGTGAGTAGACCTTCTGCAGTGTTCTATGTTCTTATGTGGGATAGCGATGAAGAAGTTTCTTGGTGAGTGGTTCAGCTATGTTATAGAAGCCGTTGTTCTGTTTATATTTCTAGATTAGTCCATTTCAGACCCCCAAACATACACGTACAAACACACTTACATAAATACACTTACATAATTGGTCGCATTGGGAGGTGATCGTTAAGCGGGGGTCCACCGTATATATATATATATATACTGTATAACACACACACAATGACATACCCCTCTGAGAATATGCATAGGTTCTTTCTTCAACAAACCGGCCGTATCCCGCCCAGGCATGGTGGCAAAAAAGAAAAACGAAGTTTCTCTTTTTTAAATTTAATATTTTATACAGGAAAAGGGGGTTACTAGCCCCCTTGCTCCCGGCATTTTACTTGCCTCTTATGATATGCATGGCTTACGGAGAAAGAATTCTGTTCCATTTCCCCATGGAGATAAGAGGAGATAAACAAGAACAAGAACTAGTAAGAAAATAGAAGAAAACCCAGAGGGGTGTGTGTATATATGCTAATACACTGGTTAACATTTAATAAAGTTTTGTCTTTGTGACTGCTATAATATCTGGATGCTCCCCTGCTATTCTAGCCTTTAGGTTACCATCTGCATCTGTATACCACACTGTGATTCTCTCATCCTTTACTTTATGCTAGGTCTTCTGGTACTGGTACTGGCTAATGGAGGGAGTTCGAGTGGAAGAAAGGTGATCAGTGCAGGCAGTATGAAAAGAAGTGTTATCACCAGAGGTGTTACAAAGAGAGGGTAGGAGAAAATGAGGGAATGCTATTGAAAGCGGGAGTAGGTGAAGGAACAGGGAAAGTAGCTACATCATTAGTGGTATACAGATTAGAGAGGTAAGAGGATAGGAAAAAAGGAAGTTGCTTGTTTCTACTCCTGATTGCTGGTTGGTATGTAGTTCTTTTATTCTCTGGGTGTTCTGGATCTTGCACTTCACTCCTGCTTCTGTGGGGGTGGCTTGTGGCTTGATTGGCAACGCTCTCACCTCCCACACTGAGTGCCCATGGTTCAATCCCCCGCACGGGTGGAAATGTTGGTCATGTTTCCTTACACCTGCTGTCCCTGTTCACCTAGCAGTAAGTAGGTACCTGGGAGTTTGACTGGGGGACAAGACTGAAGGACCACAATGGAAATAGGACACAGTCCTCGATGACACACAGGCTTTCTTGCATTATCCTGGGTGGCTAACTCTCTGGGTTAAAAATATAAAGAAATCTTATCATATGTTACCACACACACTATGTGTGACTCATGAACCACCAGCCACACCATGTGTAACTCATGAACCACCACCCACACCATGTGTAACTCATGAACCACTACCCACACCATGTGTAACTAATGAACCATCACCCACATCATGTGTTTACCTGGAGTTTACCTGGAGAGAGTTCCGGGGGTCAACGCCCCCGCAGCCCGGTCTGTGACCAGGCCTCCTGGTGGATCAGAGCCTGATCAACCAGGCTGCTGCTGCTGGCTGCACACAAACCAACGTACGAGCCGGCTGATCAGGAACTGACTTTAGGTGCTTGTCCAGTGCCAGCTTGAAGACTGCCAGGGGTCTGTTGGTAATCCCCCTTATGTGTGCTGGGAGGCAGTTGAACAGTCTCGGGCCCCTGACACTTATTGTATGGTCTCTTAACGTGCTAGTGACACCCCTGCTTTTCATTGGGGGGATGGTGCATCGTCTGCCAAGTCTTATGAACCACCACCCACATCATGTGTAACTCATGAACCACCACCCACACCATGTGTAACTTATGAACCACCACCCACACCATGTGTAACTCATGAACCACCACACACACCATGTATAACTCATGAACCACCATCCACACCATGTGTAACTCATGAACCACTACCTACATCATGTGTAACTCATGAACCACTACCTACATCATATGTAACTCATGAACCACCACCCACATCATGTGTAACTCATGAACCACCACCCACACCATGTGTAACTCATGAACCACCACCCACACCATGTGTAACTCATGAACCACCACACACCATGTATAACTCATGAACCACCACCCACATCATGTGTAACTCATGAACCACCACCCACATCATGTGTAACTCATGAACCACAACCCACATCATGTGTAACTCATGAACCACTACCTACATCATGCTTAACTCATGAACCACCACCCACATCATGTGTAACTCATGAACCACAACCCACATCATGTGTAACTCATGAACCAATACCTACATCATGTTTAACTCATGAACCAACACCCACATCATGTGTAACTCATGAACCACCACCCACACCATGTGTAACTCATGAACCACCACCCACATCATGTGTAACTCATGAACCACCATCCACATCATGTGTAACTCATGAACCACCACCCACATCATGTGTAACTCATGAACCACCACCCACATCATGTGTAACTCATGAACCACTACCTACATCATGTTTAACTCATGAACCACCACCCACATCATGTGTAACTCATGAACCACCACCCACATCATGTGTAACTCATGAACCACAACCCACATCATGTGTAACTCATGAACCACTACCTACATCATGTGTAACTCATGAACCACCACCCACATCATGTGTAACTCATGAACCACCACCCACACCATGTGTAACTCATGAACCACCACCCCCACCATGTGTAACTCATGAACCACCACCCACACCATGTGTAACTCATGAACCACCACCCACACCATGTGTAACTCATGAACCACCACACACCATGTATAACTCATGAACCACCACCCACACCATGTGTAACTCATGAACCACCACACACCATGTATAACTCATGAACCACCACCCACACCATGTGTAACTCATGAACCACCACCCACATCATGTGTAACTCATGAACCACCACCCACACCATGTGTAACTCATGAACCACCACCCACATCATGTGTAACTCATGAACCACCACCCACATCATGTGTAACTCATGAACCACCACCCACACCATGTGTAACTCATGAACCACCACCCACACCATGTGTAACTCATGAACCGCCACCCACATCATGTGTAACTCATGAACCACCACCCACATCATGTGTAACTCATGAACCACCACCCACACCATGTGTAACTCATGAACCACTACCTACATCATGTGTAACTCATGAACCACCATCCACATCATGTGTAACTCATGAACCACCACCCACATCATGTGTAACTCATGAACCACCACCCACATCATGTGTAACTCATGAACCACTACCTACATCATGCTTAACTCATGAACCACCACCCACATCATGTGTAACTCATGAACCACAACCCACATCATGTGTAACTCATGAACCACTACCTACATCATGTGTAACTCATGAACCACCACCCACATCATGTGTAACTCATGAACCACCACCCACACCATGTGTAACTCATGAACCACCACCCACACCATGTGTAACTCATGAACCACCACCCACACCATGTGTAACTCATGAACCACCACCCACACCATGTGTAACTCATGAACGACCACCCACATCATGTGTAACTCATGAACCACCACCCACATCATGTGTAACTCATGAACCACCACCTACACCATGTGTAACTCATGAACCACCACCTACACCATGTGTAACTCATGAACCACCACCTACACCATGTGTAACTCATGAACCACCACCCACATCATGTGTAACTCATGAACCACCACCTACACCATGTGTAACTCATGAACCACCACCTACACCATGTGTAACTCATGAACCACCACCTACACCATGTGTAACTCATGAACCACCACCTACACCATGTGTAACTCATGAACCACCACCCACATCATGTGTAACTCATGAACCACCACCCACACCATGTATATGGGGGTCATTAAAAAAACTATCAAACTAACCTTAATTAAAGACGTGGACTTCTGACATCATTATCATTCATTTAAAACACCGATGTTTCGAGGTCTCGAAGAAGTTGTTCCTGACATCTCAGAGACACAGTGCCATCATCTCCACGATCAACGAGGCTGTTAGTGCCTGCTAACATAAGTATAGGCCTATACGAGAACATTATTATTATATTCATGGGGGACTGCTAAACCTGTATGGGGTTCATACAGCATCTTGGGGAAGATGTCGGGTCCAGCTCCTTGGATCAACATCCCTCCACCAGCATCAAGGAACCTCCCTGGTCACGGTCAATATAAACCCTAAGGGTTCGCAAGGCTCTTGATCCAAGGAAATGAACCTGGCCTCTCCTTCCTTGTATCAGACCTGATTGCCTTCCATTCCCCCGCTTGCCTCCAGGCGCTTGATGACCCCTACGGATTTACCTTTCCCTCCATGAACACAATAATACTAATAATCCCGGAAGCTATATACTTCAGTAAGTACTGGTACACTTCCGGTCGTGTCCGTGACTAGTGATCAAGAAATACATTGGTGTTTACGTCTCACTCTTCTTCTTCAGGTTAGATGCAGTTTGCTCAGAGGTTTTATGCTTCACTTGTTGTTGTTGTTGGGTTTATTAGGGCCACTGACAACATACGCCGTATCGAACCCGGTTTCTCGATGGTACCAGGAAGATTTGTTGCCCAAGGCTGGACGATGACAGAAAAGGAACAAAAGTTCCTTTGTAAATAGAGATAGAGACTTAAGTTTCCAATTAGATCCGGCGGACGCCCTTGCCAAGCCCCAGTAGAGAGGGACGCCAACACTCCCACCTGAGTACAGTAACCGGCTGCCCACCAAAGACCGTTAAAGAATTTTCCGCAGAGCGGAAAAAATGGAGCTGGCCAAAAGTAATCCTATGTACAGGTGCCCCTCCTGTAGAGTGCCTGGCGGGCAAAATAGATGAGGACAAACGTCCCAGAGAGAACGGTGGAAATTTGTCACTGATACACAGGCAAGAGAGAGACTTCCACACCTGACGAAGGCTGGCGCAGAAGTCCTTTTGTTTCACTTGGACAAAGAAGAGCAAGGGACTTGTTTTTATTTTGTTGTTAGTTTATAGGACCATCGCAGTTCACGCCGTAACGAAACCGGCGTCACAGGTTAATGATGATAATATGATAATAATATCTTTATTGCTACAAGTACATGATACAAGGCATACAAGCCTGGCTAACATCAATGACGTACTTCTGTATAGAAAGCCAATTGTTATGCAGAGTATTTCAGACAAATTAGGTTAATGTCCCAGGATGCGATTCACACAAGTCGACTAACACCCAGGTACACATTATTACAAATAAGGAATAAGGGTTTATTTCTTTGCATAGTTTAAAATGTGTAATTACAATTTTGAGTTGCTAAGTACAAAGAAAGCCACTGTCATGCCTCGGCATTTCGGGCAGACTAAACTTAATGCTTAACAGACTACTTAATACTAGGCATATATATATATATATATATATATATATATATATATATATATATATATATATATATATATATATATATATATATATATATAATATATATATATATATATATATATATATATATATATATATATATATATATATATATATATATATATATATATATATATATATATATATATATATATATATAATATATATATATATATATATATATATATATATATATATATAATATATATATATATATATATATATATATATATAATATATATATATATATATATATATATATATATAATATATATATATATATATATATATATATATATATATATATATATATATATATATATATATATATATATATATATATATATATATATAATATAGTCCTTTTTTAATTTTAATATATAGTCCACAAATTTATATATTTACCAGCATTCCTGGTGATACATATTTCATTTGTAATTAATAGGTCCAGAGCAACTTGTGGATATGACAGTGGTAGGTATCGAAGGGGGACATTTTTGCGACCTAGGTGTCCCAAATTCCTACTTGTCTAACTGATAAATAATAATTATCTTTGTTCATTTACTGTTATGTACATAATGATACATTCAGGTAAAAGCAATTTTCCACAGGGAATGTCCTATGATGAAAGGTTAAGGGAAATCGGTCTGACGACACTGGAGTACAGGAGGGTCAGAGGAGACATGATAACGACATACAAAATACTGCGTGGAATAGACAAGATGGACAGCGACAGGATGTTCCAGAGAGGGGGCACAGAAACAAGGGGTCACAATTGGAAGTTGAAGAACCAGATGAGTCAAAGGGATATTTCTTCAGTCATAGAGTAGTCAGAAAGTGGAGTAGCCTAGCAAGTGAAGTAATGGAGGCAGGAACCATACATAGCTTTAAGATGAGGTATGATAAAGCTCATGGAGCAGGGAGAGAGAGGACCTACAAGCACTCGGTGAAGAGGCGGGGCCAGGAGCTGAGTCTCGACCCCTGCAACCACAATTAGGTGAGTACGGACTTCTTCGCCATCCTTCGTCAGGTGTGAAAGTCTTTCTCTCGCCTATGTATCAGTGACAAATTTCCATCGTTCTCTCTGGGACGTTTGTCCTCATCTATTTTGCCCGCCAGGCACTCTACAGGAGGGGCACCTGTACATCGGCTTACTTTAGCCAGCTCCATTTTTTCCGCTCTGCGGAAAAATTTTTAACGGTCTTTGGTGGGCAGCCGGTTACTGTACTCAGGTGGGAGTGTTGGCGTCCCTCTCTACTGGGGCTTGGCAAGGGCGTCCACCGGATCTAATTGGAAACTTCAAGTTTCTATCTCTATTTACAAAGGAACTTTTATTCCTTTTCTCTCATCGCCCAGCCTTAGACAACAATTTTTTCTCGTACCAACGAGAAACTGGACTGGATACAGCGTATGCTGTCAGTGGCGCTGATAAACCCAACAAAGAAAAAAGAAAAGGTAGTGTAACTGTACATATTAATTGTTATATTTACCCTTCAAGGAAGGTTTATAAAGTTACTAACTAATATTAGAAGTTATGAGGTAACCTTAGATATTAACACAGGTAAGCTTAGGCTTTTAATATAGGCGAACATTAGGTTATATTAGCTGAGGAGAACTGGCAACTCCATGTTTGAAGGAGGAAGTGTGAGACTCAGACACTGGAACGTTCTAAGTAAGTTTATTCAGTTATACACAAATACAGTTACATAGAATTATCATACATAGCAGCACATATGTAGAGAACCTAGGATAACCCAAAAAAGTCAGACAGAGTGACTTACTTCCATTGGGGTCTTTTAAAACCATACACCACTGGAACAAGTGTTGTGAACAGCAGTGTGGCGTCCCACGTGTCTAAGATAAGATTTAAGATAAGATTTCGTTTGGATTTTTAACCCCGGAGGGTTAGCCACCCAGGATAACCCAAGAAAGTCAGTGCGTCATCGAGGACTGTCTAACTTATTTCCATTGGGGTCCTTAATCTTGTCCCCCAGGATGCGACCCACACCAGTCGACTAACACCCAGGTACCTATTTGCTGCTAGGTGAAGAGGACAACAGGTGTAAGGAAACGTGTCGAAATGTTTCCACCCGCCGGGAATCGAACCCGGGCCCTCCGTGTATGAAGCGGGAGCTTTAGCCACCAGGTCACCGGGCCTGGTGGCCCGGAGAACTCTGTATCTAGAGGCATCCCAAAGTATGGATATGCGCCTCTGTACAGGTCCACTTACAGTAAGACAATACCTTTCTTTCCCTCAGTATCGTTGGCCAATTTTTTGGGAGAAACATGAGTTGAACTGTGGGTGTTTGTGGAGTCAGATGCATGAAGACTGGTACGTACTGGTGTCTCAAGTACTAGTCTAGAAGCTAGTGTCACTATATACATATTGCTGAGGGGATACTCCCCCATGGGCATCAGGAAGTTCTGAGGTGCAGTCAGGACACTAATACCAACTGATTACTTGTAGCTACCAAATCCTTCACTGCACATGATGTCTTGAAGGTAAATTATTATTATAATCAAGGGAAAGCACTAAACCCGGAGGATTATACAGCACCTGGGGTGGGGGATGTGGAAGGCATTCAGGCTTAATTCGGGGAACTGAAGCACAGATCCAATTCCCTAAATCAAGAGCCCCTCACCAACATCAAGGAACCTTCCTTGAAGGGGGGTCTTGAAGGCAAAGGAACCACCAGAGGGGCTAAGAGTTGGGGAATTTGGGAGTGCAGGGTGACATGTTCTCCAGCACCAAGTTAGTCCTTTATTAGTTCATGTAGTTTGGAATTTCTAGCAAGGTCAGTTGCCCCCTCATATATACCTGCTCAGGGCAGATGGCTCTTGATCCGAGGAATTCAAATCCTCCTTTCCCTTCCTAGGATCAAGCCTCATTGTCTTTCCTCCTTCCTCGGGTGATGTATGACCCCTGCGGGTTTGCCACTTCCCCCCCACTGATATAATATCCCCGTTTTTTCATGATTGTAGTGGGGGTTCTTGATCCAGATGACTTAGAGCTACCCCTCCATCTCCTTGGATCAAACCTGATTGCCTTCCATTGACCATGCCAGAGGTCACAGTCTTGAATCATATTGTGTTGTAATTCAAATTTAAATTTTTATTTCATTTTAAGCAGCACATTATTATTATAATCAAAAGAAAGCACCAAACCTACCAGGGTCATACAGCACTGTTAAATGGTACAGAGATGTAATAACAATAATGATGATATTCTTTATTTCTACAAGTACACGATACAACCTATACAGACCATAGCAGACACCAGTGACTTACTATGCAGAAAGACCCTGGTTATGCAGAGCATTTCCGAGGAATTAGGTTAATCTTGTCCCCCCAGGATGTGACCCACACCAGTCCACTAACACCCAGGTACCTATTTTACTGCTAGATGTACATGGACAGCAGGTGTTTTAAGGAAACACGTCCTGATGTTTCCACCTGTACCGGGGAGTTTACATGTAATAAAACATTGTTAGACACAAAAGACAGCCACTAGTATGTGGTGCATTCCGGGGTTATATGGATGGTTGTGGCTCAGTAGGTAGCATTCTAAGCTGACTGAGTGATCTGGTATCCCCCCATCCCCCAGCATGGGTGAAAAGTTGAGCATGTTACCTTACACCAGCTGTCACTGTTCACTTAGCAGTAAGTACGTAAGTACCTGGGTGTTAGTTACCTTACACCTGCTGTCACTGTTCACCTAGCAGCAAGGAAGTAGGTAGGCTCCTGGGCATTCGTTACCTTACACCTGCTGTAACTGTTCACTTAGCAATAAGTAGGTAGGTACCTGGGTGTTAGTTACCTTACACCTGCTGTCACTGTTCACCTAGCAGCAAGGAAGTAGGTAGGCTCCTGGGCATTCGTTACCTTATACCTGCTGTCACTGTTCACCTAGCAGCAAGGAAGTAGGTAGGCTCCTGGGCATTCGTTACCTTACACCTGCTGTAACTGTTTACTTAGCAGTAAGTAGGTAGGTACCTGGGTGTTAGTCGACTGGAGTGGATTGCATCCTGGAGAACAAGATTCAAGGACCACAATGGAAATAAGACAGTCCTCGATGACGCACTGACTATTGGGTTATCCTGGTGGCTAACACTGGGTTAAAAATTCCAGCAAAATCTTATTTTATAGCACATAATATATTTAATAAAACCACTGTAGAAGTTTTAAAACTTGTTGAGAGAAAAAGTCATCATTGGGTTCAGGTCTTGGTCTGAGTAAATCAATAATGGGAAAATGTACAGACTTGGTGTTATTTCCAAAGAATTAGTTTAAGATTCTCTGTAACTCTTTCATTATCAGAACATCTAAACAACTATTATTCACACGGAGGGCCCGGGTTCGATTCCCGGCGGGTGGAAATTCCGACACGTTTCCTTACACCTGTTGTCCTGTTCACCTAGCAGCAAATAGGTACCTGGGTGTTAGTCGACTGGTGTGGGTCGCATCCTGGGGGACAAGATTAAGGACCCCAATGGAAATAAGTTAGACAGTCCTCGATGACGCACTGACTTTCTTGGGTTATCCTGGGTGGCTAACCCTCCGGGGTTAAAAATCCGAACGAAATCTTATCTTATCTTACCTACTTACTTTACTTAACAAACAACCCTTTCTAAGACAAACGAATCTCAACTATCAATACTGTAAGCAAACTTAATAACTTCTTCGTTACAGTGGGAACTAATCTTGCCAATTGCACCCTTGTAGCTGAAGCCAACTGGTATCAGTTGCAGTCTGACAGGCAGTTATCTTAATTATTTCTACTTGGCTCTTACCATCCACAGAAATAGCTTCAACAATAAAATCACTTTAAAATACTAGTCGCAATGCTAGATACCAACAACAATCTACAAAAAATTTGCACAAGTATTATCTCCCGTTATTACAATAATTTTCAGCAAATCACTTGAGGAATAAACCTTTCAAGAGGTTCTCAAGAGAGCCAGGATAACCATTCACAAAAGTGGTGATTCAACTTATCTTAATAACTACAATGTTATTAACAATGACCACTGAAGCGAGTGATATTGCCAAGAAGAAACGTGTAGCTCTTGAGTGTTAAACAGAAATTTGACCTAATAAGGAAGTTGAAGTCTGGTACCTCAGTGGCAGGTGGTTGTGAGGAATATGGTGTTAAGAAAGTGTCAGATGTTCGTGAAAGCAAGGATAAACTTAAGAGTATATGCTTAAGTTTAGTGTAGAGCCTAGCCAAAAAAGGTTCATCAGTTGGCCCTAGGGAGTGTATGAAAATGACCCAAGATACAAGGGCTCACGAAACATATGAATGGTATGCTCAGCAACATGCAGCTGGTGTAGATAAATGGTATAAAATAGCAACACACTAGAAAAACACACAAATGCAGTATAACGTGATCCTTTATTAATGTTTTGCCCACACAAGTCACAAACAGATGTACCTGAGCAGAGATTGCATGAGTATACAGCCTCTCCTCACTTAGCGACGTACTTGTTTACTGGCAACTCAGACTTAAGACAGGCTCTCTGACCAGTATGCATACCTAAATAATGTACGTATATTATAGCTGATTTCCTCTATTTCATTTATTACAATATACAGTAAACTACTGGAGTTTACCTAGAGAGAGTTCCAGGGGTCAACGCCCCCCGTGGCCTGATCTGTGACCAGGCCTCATGGTGGGATCAGGGCCTGATCAACCAGGCTGTTAATGCTAGCTGCACGCAATCCAACATACAAGCCACAGCCCGGCTGGTCAGGTACCGACTTTAGGTGTTTGTCCATTTAAAACTATACCAGAAATGTTATAAATGATGCAAAGGAGACATTAAAACAATATCAAAGATAGTTGATACAAACTCACTACCATTATAGTATGCTCCTCACTTAGCAGCGAATTTGTTTACCGACATGGTCTTCGGAACTCCATTGTTAAGTGAGGAGAGGCTGTATATAGCGAGCATAGTGACATGAAAAGTCAGGTTGGGAATGCTGAGGAGAGGCTGTATTTGAGAAGGACCTCCACAGAATGGGCAAGTAGGTTTATTGTGTAGAATGAAGTTTCCTGAACTCCTTGCCAAGAAACTTCATCGTTATCCTACATATTAACAAACCTACTTGCCCATTCCCTGGAGGTCCTTATCAAATCCAACCTCTTCTCGGCATTCTCCACCTGACACTTCATGAGATTATACTCCCAATATATGTATACTCTTGTATTTTTTGCTCAGGTAGATTTGTTTGTGACTCAGTAAAGCCCAGTGTGTGGGCTAAACATCAACAAATGAGCACATTATACTGCAGTTGTGCCTAGTTTTCCAACATGCAGCTGGTGCTAAGGTTTGTTGTGTTGAGCTTCGCTCTGCTGCTAAGCAGCTAGCAAGCAGTATGGGCATAGAATTTTGGGTAAGTGAGGTTTGACTTTGGCACTTCTGTAATTGCCGAGGGTTGATTAACCAAAAAACTTATGGTGAGACTAAGTAAGTGGGTGGTGCACCCCATGGTCGAAGTTGAGCCGTTTGAATTAAGATTAAATGATCTGATAAAGAATGAGGGAGACAATAGTGGTGATCCTGGTACCAGATGTTGAATGATGCAGAACTTGCAGCTCTTGGTACCACCATAGGTGAACAGGATGGTGATGACAAAAATAAAGACAAGACAGTGAAGTTAACAAAATTGTCAGCAGTACTAGATGTGCTGGATGTTCTCATCATGTACACTGACCTCTCAGACAAAAGAGAAGTGCAGGCCTATTATCCACATTTTTGCAGTTTTAGGGAATTTGTCATAAGGAACTGGCATCAGTGTTACAAACGAAACTGGAAACATTATTTAAATCTATTCTTTGTTCTAAGTCTCCTATATCATCTATAGGTAGGCCTCAACCATTTATGTCTACTCGGTCATCTGTGTCTATTCAACCATTATCTCTATTCAACCATCTGTGTCTACACAGTCATCTGTGTGTACTTGAGCATCTACATCCTCCATATCTGTTTTTCTAACACCAAATGCAATGTCACTTCTGGAGCTTTGCTGTTCCTCTGACTCAGAATAAAAGTTATTCTGATTCACTTCTGTACATCATGGCAAACTATTGTTTAATCTCATCTATCCACCATAAAAAGTAAGAAAAATCACTGTGCTCTACTGTACTGTATTATGAACTCCCTTATTTTCAGTAATTTGTTGCACTATACCAGGGGTCGGCAAACTGTGGCCCATGGGCCGCATGTTGTTCTCAGCAACTTCAAATATTTATAAATAGTAAAACTAATGAACCCTCATTGTAAGTCACGTCAGTCACTTATTCATTCATTTAGATATTATTCATTCATTTATATTTATTTATTAGACTGATTTCTTTTCTTGGGCCCTCAAAAAAAAATGTGTAAAATATACAATGTGGCATCCGTAATGAAAAGGTTGGAGACCTCTGTATTGTACCGTATATCAATTTATTTTTAGTGTGTCCTGTTAATGTCATTGATGCAACAGATTTTCATTTAAGTGGGCACCCCTGACCCTTTGTTGATCCATTACAACCAGATTTCACTGTAATTGCAAAAATTAAGATTCCATTAATTCATTCTCTTTGAATTATTTTATTTATGTTTTGATTTTTCCATTGTTAAAACTAACTTGTATAATGTTTCTATTGTAACATTAACAATGATACATATTTCTTGTCAGATATACTTCTCTTGATTCACCTTCAGCTACAAGGGTCTTGTGTTCAGTCCTCTTTTTATTGTTATTGCAGTCTAAGCAACTCAGTGTGGGAATGTTTTGCAGTATAATATTAAAATGAAATGCGAGTTAATTTACAAAATAATGCTACAGTAGATGTTAAATTATACTATTGAGTTAACCTCTTTTATATTTATTAATTGTAATATTTCGTATATTAGAAGGATGGTGCAAATGGCTGATGAAGCAAAGAACCTGGCTTGCTGGAGAAGAAATTTTGCCAAGTTGAGGATGAAGTACTCATGACTTAAGGATGAAATCACATGACAGGTAATAACAAAAATTAACATTCTTATGAAGTACAATATTTTATCGATTTAATTTTTTCATTATTAATTCTAGCTTGTCAGTGATGAGAGGTAAAAGGTATGAGAGGCATATTGTGGCCAGGTGCTGTGTCTTGGTGACCTTCAGTCATGGGAGAGAGCAAGAGTCTGGCTCAGATGTGCTAGTGCTCTGCCAACACCTGTGGAATATTAGAGTAAGCTGAAGACAAGAACATGACTAGAATTTGTCCCTGTTCTTTGAAATTAGCTTTACAGTTAGTTGAGCTTGCAAATTATATTTTTAAAGCTTTACCTAACTTATGATGCTGCATTTTACAAGATGTATGTTTTGTACAATGTAGTAAGATGAATACTGAAGCTACCTTGACTTTCCTGGCAACAATTACCTCTTTGACTTCAAATGTTCTCTGAGACAAGCTTGACAGTTTAATACTTTAAATATTTTTTAACAGATTTGATTCTTAGAAGGAAAAAAACAGCCTGTCCATTTTGAAGTGGTTGGTTCAGGATAGCTAATTTCCAGCTAAATAGAGTTAAACAAGAAATTATTTTCACTTGCATGATACCAAGTTGCTTTTTTCACATCTTTAGTTTATTTACTTGTACAATATAGACACCTACTCAGTGACCCAGATAGGGACTGGAGGACTAGTTCATTGTGCAAAAAATCCAAATCTATGTTATAACTTGACATAGTTATAACAGTGTTGGAATGTAAAACAATGTACTCACTAGAGATGGGTGCATTGTTTAGTATTTATAGTGGTGTTATATCCCTGTTAATGCTTGCACAAGACAAAAAGATATGAAAGATTAGACCGGGTGTGATTGTGTCTGTGAGAGAAGAGCGATGTCATGTAGCATGCTGTACCTTCCTCTGCTCTTGTTTCATTCACCAGACATTGGTATATTGTTTAGTAGTGACATAGTGGTGGTGTACCCATCCTATTTTATGAGTTATAACATAAAAACTATGTGAAAAGTGCCATTGTTCAGTTAATGCAGGAAACAACTCATGTTGTCCCATTTGTGAAGACCTGAGGTGATAAACAGTATTTTATAAAATTATTTGATCATTGTATGAGGAAGCAGTCATTAATTGGGATTGGGGGAAAGGGTGTAATGACAGCCTGGAGCATAGAATTCTTTCTTTAAATAAACAGGAGCTAGTCTTCAAACAGGGCAACGATTATAGTTTTATTTTTCTTTATTTATTTCAAGATTATGTTGTTTGAAATTGCATTGTGCGAGGGAATGCTGTGTAATGATTTTATTGTAACAAAACAGTATTATATTAAGTTGAATATACTTCTCTTGATTCATCTCCAACTTTGAGGGCCTGCTCTGGATTCACATTTTTTTCTTTGATGCTATAGCTTAAGCAACTCAGTGTGGGAATTCTTTACAGTATATCTTTGATGTGAAAGTTAAGTGAAATTACAAAGTAATGCAAGATGTTAAATACTACTACTATTGAGTTAACATCTTATATTTTTTATTGTAAACTTTCATCAATTAGGGAGACAGTGCAAATGACTTCTACAGCAATCAACCTGAATACCTCTAGAAGGAACTTCAGGAAGTCAAGGATGACATCATACAACAGGTAATTGCAAAAATTAAGACTCCATTAAACTATTCTCATGCAGTATTTTATTGATGTTTTATTTCATTGTTAACTCTAGCTTGTCAGTGATGAGAGGTAAAAGGTATGAGAGGCATGTTGTGGCCAGGTGCTGTGTCTTGGTGACCTTCAGTCATGGGAGAGAGCAAGAGTCTGGCTCAGATGTGCTAGTGCTCTGCCAACACCCGTGGAATATTATAATAAGCTGAAGATGAAGGCACGACTAGAATCTGTCCCTGTCCTTTGAAATTAGCTTTACAGTTAGTTAAGGTTGCAAATTATATTTGTAAAGCTTTGCCTAACTCATGATTCTGCATTTTACAAGATGTATGTTTTGTACAATGTGGCAAAATGAATACTGAAGCTACCTTGACTTTCTTGGCAATAATTACCTCTTTGACTTCAAATGTTCTCAGACAAGCTTGATAATTTCATATTTTTAAAGCTTTTTTGTAGAGCAATGTGACAATTCAGGCCTCAGCAACACATTACTTTCAGTGTAAACAACTTTAAAAACCACATTGTTGTCCAGCAATTTATGAGGAATCTCTGGAAAGAAAGTTTGTCAGTGGGAATGTATGAAAATTTATTAGTACTGCTACTTTTGTGTAGGTGACTTTTTACAGGAAAAGCTCTTGAAATGAGAAATTGGAGCTAGCCTCCCTTTTCTTTGTTTAGTGTGTCCCCTGAATTTGGAGAGACAGTCTATATGTACACTGTATTAATGTTAGTGGAATTACCGACATGTTAGGTAAAAGGGCACAAGTGCAACTAAAGCAACATTTTATTGCGACAACGTTTTGCTCTCCAGGAGCTTTATCAAGCTTGACAAAGTTCCTGGAGAGTGAATGGTACCACAATTAAATGTCACGTTAGTGGCACTTGTCCTTTTACTTACGTAAACAGCAGGCCCCATTTATACAGCAGGTTAGGTTCCAGGTACCGCTGGAAAGCAGAATTTCATTTTTTCACTTACAAATGATACAAATGCCAGATAACAAGTTTACAGTAACATATATTAAGTTAGCCATAGATCTAGGGATTAAAAAACAATAAAAAGTAAAATACATACAGGGTGCACTCATTACTTACCTTAAAATATTTGTAGTCTTAATGTAGGGTGAGATGCGAGTAGTATTTATTGTAAGAGGTTGGGTGTGGTAAGTATGGTAGTCAGGTGTGGTAGGTATGACCACCCTTCCCACACATATTATACATTTAAAGCACTGTTGAGCGATAAAATGCATATACAGTACACTCATTACTTACCTTAAAATATCTGTAGTCTTAATGTAGGGTGAGAGGTGAGTAAACGAGATCAAACGAATAAACGAGAGAGGACAGAGACGCGGAGTGTGTAAACGAGTAGACGAACGTGTCTGGTTATGGTTCATGCACGTTCATTTCCATGTTTGTGAAGCTTATACCATAATACAAATGCCTTACATTGTGTACAAGTTGTCTCCACATTGGCACAGTAGAATAAATAAAGTTCAACACTCCCATTCTCATATAACACACCATTATTAGAAGAAATGACACTGAGTGAAAGTATATGAAAGGAATAATTTTCTCCAGTTAGCTCCAATACTACTATTGTGTACACATTTCTTTGGTGTTGAACTAGAGAAAACATTGTTTCCAACAAGATGACTGGAAAAACATCTCATATTTATGTTAAATTATTCTACTGTGGGGTGTATTTATCATGTTTATATGTTATGTAGCATGTTTATTAAATAATTTTGAAAAAATATCATAGATGAATTAATGAAAATATCTGTATTAACGTAATATACAACATTTAATGCACCTCAGTGATTATTATTGCATTTTAGTATTATTATTATCATTATTAATATGGCATCTTCGAGACTAATAAGACACTCCTAGTGGTTTTAATGTGTACCTTCATACCAGCACAGTGTGTAAGTTTACTTAGGTACAGGTATACACACAAGTATAATAATTTATCTTTCAACACACCGGCCGTATCCCACCAAGACAGGATGGCCCAAAAGGAAAAACGAAAGGGTCTCCTTTTAATTTTAGTAATACACCTAACATCCGACTTACGACCGAGTTCGGTTCCGAGAAACTGGTCGTAAGTCGAAATGGACATAAGTCGAACTTTACTACATAATATCAACATCACATTTTGGTATTTGATGTTTTACTTTACTTTTTATGCTGTTAGTACTGTATTTTATACTGTAAGATTTAGGATAAACACTGTGTGCAACACAAATAGTTGTTTATTTCCCAGAAATTTGGCATAAAAAAACACGGTCGTATGTCGAGTGGTCATATGTCGAGCAGGTCGTAAGTCGGATGGTAGGTGTATATACAGGAGAAGGGGTTACTAACCCCTTGCTCCTGGCATTTTAGTTGCCTATTATGACACACATGGCTTACGGAGGAAGAATTCTGTTCCACTTCCCCATGGAGATAAGCGGAAATAAACAAGAACAAGAACTAGTAAAAAAGAGAAAACCCAGAAAGGTGTGTATATTTATGTTTGTACATGCATGTGTAGTGTGACCTAAATGTAAGTAGAAGTAGCAAGATGTACCTGAAAACTTGCATATTTCTTTCTTTCAACACACCGGCCGTATCCCACCGAGGTGGGGTGGCCCAAAAGGAAAAACGAAAGTTTCTCCTTATACATTTAGTAATACTGTATATACAGGAGAAGGGGTTACAAGTCCCTTGCTCCAGGCATTTTAGTCGCCTCTTACAACACGCATGGCTTACGGAGGAAGAATTCTGTGCCACTTTCCCGTGGAGGTAAGAGGAAATAAACAAGAACAAGAACTAGTAAGAAAATAGAAGAAAACCCAGAGGGGTGTGTATATATATGCTTGTACATGTATGTGTAGTGTGACCTAAGTGTAAGTAGAAGTAGCAAGATGTACCTGAAATCTTGCATATTTATGAGACAGAAAAAGATACCAGCAATCCCACCATCATGTAATACAATTATAGGCTTTTGTTTTACACTCACATGGCAGGATGGTAGTACCTCTCTGGGCAGTTGCTGTCTACCTAGCTAGTATAAGTATAATTATCAGAGTACAGTAGGGTCCCACTTTACGGTGTTCTGCTAATACGGTCATTTCAAATTATGACCAAAAAACTCTGTAAGGCTCCCCCCACCTGACTCTCTAATACGGTCATTGCGCCCCACCCAGTTTGTTTACATTCTCCGTGAGCTCCGTAAGCACAACGTCTCTCCATTATGTCTCGAAACTCCAAAATGTCAAGTGTTTTTAAAAGTTATTTCATATTTTATATATACTCTGATAATTATACTTATGTATACCTGTACCTAAATAAACTTACACACTGTACTGGCATGCAGGTACACATTAAAATCAGTAAGAGTGTCTTATGTATTGAGATGCCATATTAGTAATGATAATAATAATACTCAATAATAATCACTGAGTCTCATTAAATGTCATATATTACGTTAATATACACATTTTCATTAATCCATCTGTGATATTTTTTCAAAATTATATAATAAACACGATACATAACATATAAAGATGATAAATACACCCCACTGTAGAATAAATAAACATTAATGTGAGATGTGGTAGCCAGATGACTTGTACGAGTGATTCCATATTAGTAATGATAATAATAATCACCGAGTCTCATTAAATGTCATATATTACGTTAATATACACATTTTCATTAACCCTTAAACAGTCCAAAGAGATTGACGTTCAAATTCTTAGTGCTACAAAAGTAGATTACTTTTTTTTACATATTTTCAAATATAACAAAAAAAAAATGTAGATAAAAGTTTTTTACACGTTTTCAAATGTAAAACAAAAAAGAAGATCTACATTTTTTTACATACTTTCAGATGTTGAAAAAACGTATATATATGTTTGGACCATTTAAGGGTTAATCCATCTATAATGTTTTTTCAAAATTATATAATAAGCACGATACATGGCATATACAGATGATAAATACACCCCACGGTAGAATAAAAATAAATATGAGATGGGGTAGCCAGACAGCTTGAAAGAGTGACAGCAAGAATAATGTTTTCTCTAGTCCAACCTAAGAGAAAATGTTACTGGGTGTAACTGTAGAAAATTATTCCTTTCGTATGCCTTCACTCAGAGCTTCATTTCTTCTAAAAATGGTGTTACATGAGAATGAGAGTGTTCCTCTTTATTTATTCTACCATATCAATGTAGTGACAACTTGTACACAATGAAACTTGTACACAAACCAGATGTGTATACCTGGTTTGTTTACAAAACTTGTGTTCGCCTGGTTCGTCTTTCAACACACCGGCCATATCCCACCGAGGCGGGGTGGCAAAAAAAGAAAAACAAAAGTTTCTCTTTTTAAATTTAGTAATTTATACAGGAGAAGGGGTTACTAGCCCCTTGCTCCCGGCACTTTAGTCGCCTCTTACAACACGCATGGCTTACAGAGGAAGAATTCTGTTCCACTTCCCCGTGGAGATAAGAGGAAATAAACAAGAACAAGAACTAGAAAGAAAATAGAAGAAAACCCAAAGGGGTGTGTATATATATGCTTGTACATGTATGTGTAGTGTGATCTAAGTGTAAGTAAAAGTAGCAAGATATACCTGAAATCTTGCATGTTTATGAGACAGACAAGACACCAGCAATCCTACCATCATGTAGAACAATTGTAGGCTTTTGTTTTACACTCACTTGGCAGGACAGTAGTACCTCCCTGGGCAGTTGCTGTTTACCAACCTACTACCTAGGACTCCCAGAACTATATTATATAAAATATTTTTTCTGCATGTCACTATGTAACAAAGTTGCCATTAATTTTATTAACCCATTGACTGTTGCAACCCCAAATCCTGAGGTGTCTCCTGCCGTTGCAAAATTTAAAAAAAAAATTATTTTTTCTTATGAAACGATAGAGAATCTTTTCCCGATTGTAATGACACCAAGAGAACGAAATTTGATGGAGAACTGACGGAACTACGTTCTCGTCAATTTAGTGACCTCGGCAATATTTACGAATTGGCAATTTTGCCCACTTTGAGCAGTATTTTCAGCTAATTCCATTGTTCCAGTCGACCAAACTCATAGCTATTTCTTTAGAACTCCATTTTTTCTATCAATTGAGTACAAGAAACTGCCCATTTACCAATTTCAGCTACCCAATAACGTGGCCAATTTCACGAAAATTAAAAAATATGACAATTTCAAAATAGGATCCAGAATGAACAATGCAGACATTCCTGGCTCTAAAATAACATTTTCTATGTTTATCAGTCACATCTCTAGGCTCCTCTGATATTACTCTTGCTTTCTATTCTGAATTTTTATTCAAACAAAAAATAAAAGATTTACTGTTATGCAGACTACTGTATTATTGTAATAATTGTATAAATAATGTCAACCCATTCATGACAGCATATTAGAATGGCTGCTTGGACATTTATTGGAAAATGACATTTGTTTACTTTTGAACATCAGCAAAAATCAAACATTTCCTCTACTTTGAGCTCCATTTCAAGGTTCTTTTCATAGAAAAACCAACCAAAATCACCTCTATTTCTGTAATATATTTTTCATTCTGTCAAATGAGACCAAGAAAATGAGAATACAACCATAAATACTATATGAAAATAGACCACAAAGCCGGCATTTTAATTAAAAAAAATGGTCGGAGTTTTTTTTTTTATTATTATGCACTGCGTGCTGCAGGATTTTTTTTATATGGTGCACACTGACCACACAGATCCATTCTCTCACATGTGGGCCTACCAGCTTTCTCCTGCTTGATTTGAAGCCGCTAGAATTTATGAGTATATATACGTCAAAAACGGTGGCTCATAAGACGTACACATACAACTGAAACAGTCAAAGGTTTAACCCTTTCAGGGTTTCAGACGTACTAGTATGGCTTACGCACCAGGGTTTTTGACGTACTAGTATGCCAAAATTCTAGCGCCCTCAAATACAGTGAGAGAAAGTTGGTAGGCCTACATATGAAAGAATGGGTCTGTGGTCAGTGTGCGCAGTATAAAAAAAAATCCTGCAGCACACAGTGCGTATTGAGAAAAAAAAAAACTTTGACCGTGTTTTTGGATTAAAACAGTGACTTTGCACTGAATTTTCGTATGGTATTTATTGTTGTATTCTAGTTTTCCTGGTCTCATTTTATAGAATGGAAGATATATTACAGGAATTGAGATGATTTTGACTGGTTTTACAATGAAAAGTACCTTGAAATTGAGCTCAAAGTAGCAGAAATGTTCGATTTTTACCAAAGTTCAAAAGTAAACAAATCGTGCTAAGCGTCCAATACATGTCAACTGGTGAGTAATATTCTTCCACAAGTGCGCCGATATTATTTATACCATTTCTACACTAATGCAGTAGTCTGCATGACAGTAAATCTTCTATTTTTTGTGAGAATAAAAAATTCAAAGTGAAAAGCAAAAGAATGTAAGAGGGGCGTGAGGATGTGACTAATGAACAGAGGAAATGTTATTTTAGTGCCAGGAATGTTTTTCTTGTTTATTCTGGACCCTATTTGGAAATTGGCATCTTTTGAAATTTGTGTGACATTGGCAAAATTGCTAAATTCTGACGGCTGTACTGGATAGTTGAAATCGGTAAATGGGTGGTTTCTTGTACTCATTCGATAGAAAAAATGGAGTTCTAGCGAAATAGTTATGATTTTTGTCTACAAGTACACTGGAATTGGCCGAAAATAGGGCTCAAGGTGGGCAAAATAGCCGATGCGTAAGCATCGTTGAGACCGCTATCTTTGCAAGAGCATAATTCCGTAAGTTTTCCATCAAATTTCATACTTTTGGTGTCATTATGATCGGGAAAAGATTCTCTATCTTTTCATAAGATTTTTTTTTTTTTTTTTTTTTTTTTTTAATTTGGGCGACCCTGAGAACAAGTCTGGGAGAGGGCCTGGGGACCCTGAAAGGGTTAAAGAAACATTTTCTGGTTATATAATGTTTTCAGTGGATGCCGGATTTGCAATGTATTATTCACAAATAACCCGCACATAGAAGAGAGGAGCCTACGACAATATTTTGGTAAATGATCCGACTTGGACCATTTACAAAGTCAGTGTGACTTTGTAAATGGTCCAAATTGGACCAAAACGTCGTCGTAAGCTCCTCTTCTACGTGCGGGTTATTTGTGTATTGTTCCAGTCACAGTACTGTGCCTTTTTTTGTTATTTGCAATGTATTGATTGCAGTATCTTGGTAATTCACTAATCATTTTTCAAGAAAGATCTCTGATCTGTTAAGCTTTGGGGCCTTGACAAGACTAGCCTTTGCAGCTCTGCATTACCAACCTGCAGAAGAGCCATCAGTTCACTTGATTTACTGAAAAATCTTACCATAATGCAGTAATCAAGAAACTCATATGCTGGTTTTTTTTTTTTTGTAACCCAGCACACCTGTTGAGAAATCACCCCTACCTAAATCTCTAGTCAGACTTAGTTAACCTGCATACTACCCAAGTTGATGATTACTGCCTACAAATTCAAAGTGATGATGAAAAGTAGGTGTCTATTTCTTACCATCATCTGTGGCTAACAGCTGTTGTGTCTTGTTTGACAGTGTAACTACTTTGTTCTAGAATCTTAATATTCACTTGTGTATTTGCAGGAATGATCACTTTTTGTGATGCTCCTGGATCACTTGTCTGCAGAACTTCCTCCCTGGATGTCCATAATGGAAGAAAACAAGTACTTGCTTGTTCGTGCTCAGATGTACTACTCTGGAGTATCCTAGAGTTGCTATAGTGTATCAAAGTACTAAGGAAGGGCAACCAAGGAAAAATAAGAAGAATAATGGTTTCAGATATATTAGCCATGTGACTGGAAGTACAAACCCCCAGGCTAGATGTTATATGATTTCAGTAAACAATCCTAGGGGACCGTGGATACGTTAAGTGCCATGGAAAGTAGCACAGCCTGGTCATTTGAGTTCTCATGTATGTTTTTTTTTTTTTCCTTAACAAGTCGGCCGTCTCCCACCAAGGCAAGGTGACCCAAAAAGAAAGAAAATCCCCAAAAAGAAAATACTTTCATCATCATTCAACTCTTTCACCTCACTCACACATAATCACTGTTTTTTTGCAGAGGTGCTCAGAACACAACAGCTTAGAAGCATATACGTATAAAGATACACAACATATCCCTCCAAACTGTCAATATCCCGAACCGTATATATTTTTTGATAAATATAGTTTATATTCATATACATGCAAGTTTTACTTTCAACCTGTTTTCTGAACTGACTGCCTGGTTATTGATCAAAACTGGTTTATCATAACCACAGATAATGATAAGCCAGGATAAGTGTTCAGCAGAATACTTATCCTGGCTTCTGATGAGATGTAAATTTACCTCTAGACCTACATGTAGATCAAAGTGAACATAATCATACAAGTAACATATAGTAGGGTTAAGTGGGAAGTTACACCCTGCAATTTGATAGCATAAGTGGAAAATGTAACAGCAAGCACTTGCTGGCTGGTGAATGCTCAGATGCATAACCCTGCAGCATAGCTTCTCAGATTAATTACTATGATTTAATTTATTTGATAACATTTCATAACTTAATAAAGTTTGGAGCATGAGTGGTACGAAGCTCGGAAGTTTACCATTACCATGGTTAAGTGAGACAATGAACTCTGGAATAACAACACCCAATAAAGAAGCCTAATTTGATGCTTGAGAGGATTTTTTTTTTTTTCAACAAGTCGGCCGTCTCCCACCGAGGCAGGGAAAAAAAAAAAAAAAGAAAGAAAATCCCCAAAAAGAAAATACTTTCATCATCATTCAACACTTTCACACCTCTTCAAGGGGGGCTCCTTGGCGTGGTGAAGAGGCTCTTGGTCTGAGGAATTAGCCCTGTCGGTCTTCTTCCTCAGACCGAACCTAATTACCCCCCATTCTCCCCTCCCCTATCCCATCCTCCCCATCCTCCCCTTTTTCCATTCCTCCTCCTCCTCCTCACCCCTCCCTTTTGCCCTTCCTCTTTTTAGCCTTCGTGATTTCTCCCACAGGCGCGCTAGTTCCTAGGTAGGGGAAAGGACACCGGGGTCCATCCCATTCCGTTGAGGTTTCTTGGCGGTGGCGTAGTTTGCCGTGGAATCTGGATTGCCTAGGGATGTCCCGATCCCTCTCCGGTATCCCGGAGTGGCTTTGGGTGTCTTTTGGGCGACGGGTGTATCTCTGGAAGCCACCTTTCGGATTCCGGGGGTGGTGGCTGAAGGAGGTATGCTTTGTGGCGGATATAAGAACATAAGAACATAAGAACGAAGGAACACTGCAGAAGGCCTACTGGCCCATGCGAGGCAGGTCCAAGTCCCTACCGGCTTAAGCCAATGCACCCAACCTAGTCAGGTCAGGTCACATTGACTTAAGGGAGGAACACGGCAACCACCTGTTAGCACAACTACAGGTCCAATCCACCCACCCACACTACTCAGAAAATTTATCCAACCTTTTTTTTGAAGCTACACAACGTTCTGGCCTCTATAACGGTACTTGGGAGTTTGTTCCACTATCCACAACTTATTACCAAACCGTACTTTCCTATACCCTCCTGAATCTGAATTTTTCCAACTTAAAACCATTGCTCGGCCCTGCTGGGCTAGATTTTTCAGCACACATTTACTCCCCTTTATTTATTCCTGTCTTCCCACTTAAAAACCCTCAATCAACCCCCCCTTTTTTACTCTTTCTAGAGAGTGCTTTTTCGGGCCCCCTTGTTACCCTCATGGGAAGGTTTCTGATACATGGGATCATCTTTGCTCCCCCTTTGACTTTTTCCCAGAGAATTTATATCCATTCGAATACGGTGACCAAAACTGTGGCATAAAACTAAATGGGCCCAACCAAGGATGTTAGAGTTAAGAACAACCGAGGAATCCTATTATTTTTGCTTTTGATATGAAGCCCGGATTTTATTAGCTTTATTGCGAACATTTTGCACTGTTTTCTTGGTTTTAGATTACTGCTAACCAGAACCCAAATCTTTTTCGCAATCCGTAATAATTTAAAATCTACATTTTTTAGTTTTTATGTGGCAGGGTTATTGTCCTGTCCAACATTTAGAAATTTGATTTGTCTATATTTTAAAATGATTTTGCCACTTTTCCGACCACTGCATCAGTCTATCAAATCTTCCCGGGTGCTCGAATTCCTCGTCAGAATTAAATTTGCGGCCTATTTTGGGTCATCGGCAAACTTGACGATGTCGCTCTTTATGCCCCATCTTTGTCGTTTATGTAATTGTGAACACGGGGGCCCAACACTGACCCCTGTGGAACACCGCTCGTGACGCCCCCCCACCTGATTTCCCCCCCATTTATGCAAACTCTTGCTGCCTTTTTTGTAAACCATCCTCTTCCAGGAAAAAATTTTCCTCCTTTTCCATGGTTTTAAATTTTCCCTCAATAGTCTTGATGTGGACCCTGTCAAAACCTTACTGAAGTCCAAACACAATATCATATTCTTTACCATGATCACCTCCTCAAATACCTTAGTAAAAAAATTTTAAATAAATTCTAAGGCGGAACGCCCCTTTGTAAAACCATGCTGGATTCGTTGATTCATTTATGCTTTTCAAGGGCTCGAACGCCTGGGCAATTTTTTGATTCCATAAATTTTCCCATATGGGGTTGGGGCTTTTTTGGTCTATAGTTCAAAGCTAAACCTGTCACCTTTTTTTTGAAATGGGTACACATTTGCCATTTTCCCACTTATCGGGCCCACCATCCAGTTTGTGTGATATGTTGAAAAGATTACCAAAGGTGTGCAAAGCCCTCTTACATTCCTTTAAACCCTTGCATACAGTTCTCGGGGCCCGGGGATTTGTTAGGTTTTAATTTATCTATTTGCCAAAGGGACCATGCACTTGTGACCCTAAAGTGCCCAGTTTATTATCGTCCTGTTCTACATAATTTATCATTACGGGGAATATCGCTGGTTTTCCCCCTGTGTAAAAACGAGGGAAGTTGGGGTTAAAAATTCTACACATTTCCTTATCCCTTCAGTGAGCTGACCCGGGGAACTTTTAGGTGGGCCTTCTTGCCCCGATCTTACTTCTGTAACCTGAAAAAAACCCTTTTTGGGGTTAGTTTTCGTTTCTTTGCAATTTTAAAAACCTCATAATCTCATTGCTTTTCAAATTCCCCCTTTTTTTTTTCTCTCTTTAACTGAAAAAAATCGATTTTTAATTCCCCCTCTTCTTTTGATTTGCCTATATATCCTTCTTTTGACCAATCAAATTTTTAATCTATTGTTCATCCATTTAGGATCATTTTTGTTTGATCTGATTTCCCTATTTGGAACATAATTTGACTGAGCACTAGAACTATGCCCTGGAAAGCATCATATCGGCAACCATCACCACCTACCTGACCCCTAGTCAGGTCATTCCAGTTCAGCCCACCTAAGTAATTTTTCAGTCCTATGAAATCAGCCAAGCGAAAGTCAGGGACGGAGACTTGATTGCCATTATTAGGGGAATTCCATGATATGTTAAAACTGAGTGATTTGTGATCACTCTCCCCAAGCTCATCATTAACCTCAGATTATTAATTAGTGTTTCCCTACTGGCAAGAACCAAGTCAAGGAGGTTATTTCCCCTAGTTGGCTCTGTCACAAACTGTTTTAAAAAACAATCCTGATCGTATCAAGAAAGTCACCCGACTCTAAATTTCCTGTCAAATTGCTCCAGTCAATCTGTCTATAATTGAAATCTCCCATTAGCACAACATTTTCGTATGTAGATGCCTACGAATTTCGTCCCATAGAAGTTTACTGCACTCCCTATCAAGATTTGGGGCCCGTAAATCACACCCAAAATTAGTTTTTCTCGCCCTCGAGAAGCTGTAACCAAACAGATTCAGTGGCTGACGCTTCTAATTTAATATCTTGTCTAACACAACAATTTAAATTGTCTCTGACATACATCGCTACTCCACCACCTTTCCTGTTGACCCTGTCAGTGTGGAATAATTTATAGCCTTGTATGTGACATTCAGAGGGCATCTCTCTATCTTTCAGATTGAGCAGGTCTCTGTTATAGCAATAATATCTATGTTTCCTGCACTTGCAATTAATCTTAGCTCATCTATCTTATTCTAACACTCCTGCTATTAGTATAGTAAACCTTAAGGGAGCTAGTCCCTTGCTGCCCTCTGCTGTCCCCCTTTGTTTGCTGACCTGTTCTATTGTCTTTATTTATAACTTCATGCTGAATGCCTTTTATACATTTACTGTTTCCAACCCTAGTGTTGCAACCTGCTTGTTTCCCACACACACCCATACCTCTATCTTCCATCAGTTTAAAATCATAGGCATTTCACCAATGGCCTTCTCAATCGAGTCTGCAAGTGCTACCACCCCCCCCAGAGAGATGAACCCCATCCCTTGCATACATATCATGTTTGCCATAAAAGTTGTTCCAGTTGTCAATGAATGGGATTGCAAGTTCCTTGCAGTATCTGTCTAGCCAGCAATTTACACCAATTGCCCTAGACAACCATTCATTTCCTACTCCCTTCTAGGCAAGATGCTACATATGATTGGGATCCCTCCTTAGACTTAATGAAATCTATAGCTGACCTGTACTTATCTAGCAGCTCTTCTCTCCTACCCTTCCCAATATCATTTCCACCAGCACTGAGACAGATAATGGGCTTGTTCCCATTACCTGACATGATATTATCCAGTCTGTTGACAATGTCCCCAACACCAGCTCCAGGGAAGCACACTCTATCTCTCATCTTCTTATTCCTATTACAAAAAGCACGATCAACATATCTTACCTGAGAGTCACCAACCACAAGAATGCGCTTACCTTCATTAGCAGGGGCAGTAGTACCCTTACCTTCACTGGCCACTGAAGTACATTCATCCTGGAGAACAGAGAAGCGATTCCTACCTTCAGATCTGCACTCTTAACTTTCCTTACTCTGATGCGCCTCCCATTACTGTGAACAACTCGCCACTTGTAGCAGGTGCTGGGCTGCACCTCACTGCTGGTAGCCGTTGCTACCACCCCACCTACAGCCTCCTCACAGTGAGAGACAGACTGCACCTCACTGCTAGAAGCCTCATTCCCCACATCTCCAACCACCTCACACTCTCTCCCAGGCCCATTGAGGTGGACCTTCAGCCTCCTAATCTCCTCCTGGAGAAGCAAGACCTCCTCCTTCAACTCTCCAACCTCAGCTTTTAAAACACTGTAGAAGCAAGCCATGCTTTGTAACCGTCCACGCTAATCCCCAAGCAGCTCAGGGTCTGTGACCTCACGTGACGACTGACCACTGAACACTGACGACTGACCACTCTCTTTTGTCCACCGAGGTAGCTCGGCAGATGTGAGGTTGCTATCCCAGATTGCTGGTTTACTGGCATGAAGGGTAGGGTATGGCACGGGTTCCATGCTGCATCTGCGCTACTAGCGGTGTCGAGTCCTCTTGGGCGCGGAGGGGGATTTCCGGCCCTTTCATTCCTCCTGGGAACTATTCCTCCCCGCTCCCCCCTTTTTTTATTCTTTTTTTTATTTTTATTTTCTTTTCTTCTTTCTTTTTTTTTCTTAAAAACAAAAAGCAAAGGAGTAACCTAAACCATGGCACCCCTAGTCCATGAAACCACTCCCCCCGGGCCCTTCTTGTACCGCACCCCATTCTGACCCTGCCTTGTGTTTAGACCACTCTTCGGACATTCCTGATCCCCCTGAAACCTCTTGCTGGTGCTGTTTCCTCACCCGCTTCAGGTACCG